AATGTTTAAGTGAAAGATATTAATACTTCAGAGGTCATGATGAAAAGTAGTGTTGAACCTATAATGGAAATTTCATGGGAATTTTTCAACTAATAGATGGATTTTATCCATTTTTGCTTACGGTCTTGGAAAAAATGACAAAATGAAATAAAATGACTTATTTTACCAAAACAATTTATGAAAAATTAATTTCAATGATAGGAAAATATGTTTATAAAGAGTGGTAAGTGAAATACATAACCAGACATCAAATAGCATTATACATTCTATAATGAATGTGACAAACACTGATCAGTTGTCAATTATTGTGCACTATTCTTCTAACAGGAAACCCTATTAGCAATCTTTAGCTTTTTTACTCAACTGAAAACATTATGTGAGACTTGATTCAACAAGGTGAAACAAGATTTGGGCTGCTGTAACCTGCAATTGAACAACTTGTACAGCAATCCAGACGACAGCACAGCCATTCTGATGATTAAGACAAAGGGCTATGTGCTCTTTAAAAACAACTTTGCAGAACAGGAGCCACGCACAACTCATTACCTTAACTGTGTTAGAGGAAAGGCTGCCCTCAAAGTACCTGAAGTTGTTATCTACTTCAATATTGAGCACAGCTGTGTATTTTATTTTCAGGTTCAACAACTATATGGAGTGTTTTAAACATATGTGCCAACTTGGATATTTCCTTGAAGAGTCTGAGTATAATGAAATGGTCTGCCATTAGATAGGTGCTCAAACTCTGCAACAAAGGCTCAATGAAAACACATTTTCAGCCACTCAGAAGACAATCCAAAACACAAGTGAGATGTAAAAACTTATTCAACAGTTGATAAAACTCAAATATAACATTGTAAATGCAATCTAGAAAGACACTTTGGAACATTTCAGTTAAACAGGTGATAAATTACAGACTCCTGATGTGGGTGGATATAGTAGGATATAGTAGGTACTTTCTTTTGTTATCTTTAAATTTATTTTCTTAAAGCAGAGAGATAAAACTGAGATAAGCAATTAATGGAATATGAAACCAAAGTGATAAAGATGAGTGAGAAAATCAATAGAAATTATCCTGACATTGAGAAGTGAATAGTAACAAATTTTTTTTCAGATCATAACAAAAACAGTATTTCTTTAAGAGAAAGATAAATTGCAAGTGAAAGTAATAAATAGGTTCTTCAATTGTTTGACAATTTGTGAAGAGAAGTGAATCATATTCACTTCATTCAAAAATACTTAAATTTCTTTCTGATTTGACCGCAAATTGACATTAATGAAGATTACCTAAATTCATAGTACAAGATTACAATGAATATATTGATGACTGAGTGTCTTCAATTCAAAGAATATATAAGATTAGTAAATGTGCAAGAAAATGTGAAATGCCCATATAAAGATACTTGATAGAGCTTTGTGAAATTTGACAAAAACACTAAATATGTAAATAAATAAATATATATATAAAACCAATAATGAACTATGAGCATTAAAAAAACTTTCTGAACTATCAATAATAAAAAACACTGGTCAACCATGCTAAAGACTAAATTGTATTTCTATTCTCTCTATAGAAAATATTACAAACTATTGTCATATGAAGAGATGATTAAAGAGTACATAGCCATAAAATATGGGGGGAAACGTATGGAGAGGTGTGTCTGACAGTTAATAAAATTATTATGCTATCTTAAAATTTTTCATTATTTGTAACAATTTTCAACTTTTAAAAGTTTATAATATTGTGATTTTTTTTCTTAGTCTAAATAAATATTCACTTTTTTGGAATATTTTTTGAATATAGCACTTAATTTTGTATTTATAATTGTTATTCTTTTTCTTAAGGAGCCACCAGCACCAAATTGTATATAAGCTTCAGGGCCCACAAAATCTGGATTCGCCCCTGTTATCATCATCTCTCTCCACCTAATTGATCTACCTTTATCCATTCTTGTCCTCTTCTCATCTGTACACTATGCCACAGCCTAAAGGATCTTATAAAAACTCATGTATGATTATATTTCTCCTCTACTCTTCCAGTACTTTCCCACTAGTCTTAGGATAAAGACCAAAATCCTTAACATAGTGGGCCCTACCTACTTCTCCCCTTCCCCCTCTCCCTCACCTCCAACCACACTGGCTTCTTTTAGTTCCTTGAATGCACCACCTAAGGACCTTTGCACATGCTATACTCTGTGCCTAGGAGACATTCTACCACCCCACTAGTCCATTAACAAATTATCTCCCATTTAAACTTCAGACTGCCACTCAAAAGTTACTTCCTCAGAAAACGGGACAGCCACTTGCAAAACAATGAAAGTAGACCATCCTCTTTCACCATACACAAAAATTAACTCAAAATGGATCAAAGACCTGAGGGTGAGACTTGAAACTATAAAACTCCTGGAGGAAAGTATAGGTAGTACACTATTTGTCACCAGCCATGAAGGGATCTTTTTGAATTCCATGTCTACTCAGACAAGGGAAACAAAAGAAAAAATAAACAAGTGGGACCTCATCAGATTAAAGAGCTTCTACAAGGCAAATGAAACCAGGATCAAAATGAATAGGGAACCCACCAGCTGGGAAAAAATATTTGCAAACCATATATCTGACACGGGATTAATCTCCATAATATATAAAGAACTCACACAACTGAATAACAAAAAAACAAACAACCCAATCAAAAAATGGGCAGAAGAAATGAACAGACACTTCTCCAAAGAAGATATACAGATGGCCAATAGGCACATGAAAAGATGCTCAACATCACTAATCATCAGGGAAATGCAAATCAAAACCACACTAAGATATCATCTTACACCCGTTAGAATGGCTATAATCACCAAGACAAAAAGCAACAAATGCTGGAGAGGCTGTGGAGAAAGGGGAACCCTAATCCACTGCTGGTAGGAATGCAAACTGGTGCAGCCTCTATGGAAAACAGTATGGAGATTCCTCAAAAAATTAAAAATAGAAATACCTTATGATCCAGCTATCCCACTACTGGGTATCTACCCAATGAACCTGAAATCAACAATCCAAAGAGGCTTACGCACTCCTATGTTCATCGCAGCATTATTCACTATAGCCAAGACATGGAAGCAACCCAAGTGTCCCTCAACTGATGATTGGATAAAGAAGATGTGGCATATATATACCATGGAATACTACTCAGCCATAAGAAAAGACAAAATGGTCCCATTTGCAACAACATGGATGGACCTGGAGGGTATCATGTTAAGTGAAATAAGCCAGAAAGAGAAAGACAAACAGTGCACGATTTTACTCATATGGGGAAGATAAACCAACACACGGACAGATAGATCTGTTTGGTGGTTACCAGAGGCTGGGGGTGGGGGTTGGGCACAAGGGGTGGAGGGATGCACTTATATGGTGACTGATAAACAATAATGTACAACAAAAATTTCACAATAAAAAAAAAAGTTACTTCCTCAGGGCACCTCAGACTAGGTCAGCCCCTCATCTCCTTAAATGCTCATTGCTCCCTTTCCTTTTCCTTCATAGCACGTCTCCCTATTTGTAATTACATACCTCTGTGATTATTAGATTGTATCTCTCTCTGCCACTAGACTGCAAGTTCCAAGAAAGGGGGGCAGTATCTCCCCAGCACTCGCCTAGCATCTGGAACAAAGTTGGCACCTAACTATACAATCTCTGGCCTTAAAGTTTACAATCTAGCCTTTAACCAAAAACAATGATATAATTTTACAATTTGGGGCATCAATACAGATGGAACAGGTTTTGCTTTCTGTTCTTTTTGTGCGAGAAGTCTTCCCGGAAGTCTTGGAGTCAGAATACAGAGGGGTTAGTTATTCCACCAGTGTGCCAAGTTAGCCTAGCCTCAGGCTGTAATCCAGTACCCCTGCCGTCTGGGAAGTCCTCTGACCAGATTTCCAGCATAATTCTCTCTTGCGGTGGAACTTCATTTTTTAAAGATTCTCTTGGCTTCTGTAAACTTACTTTAAAAAAAAGTAATAAAACAAAAGCAACACTTCCTTTTGCATAAGGCTTATAGTTGTACACATGACATTTCCAAGTACTTCCACAATTATTGTTACCTTATAGTATAGCGCTTTCATAAAGTTTTAAATGACTGTTCTTGTCGAAAGGTCCACCTTAGAGAAAATACACCTTATTTGTTAGGAACCAGGAGGTACAGCCTCTTGTTCTGAGCTGGGAACAAGGCTTGACCGTCACCTTGCCAGGGATATTCTGTCTTCATAGACTTCAGCAGAGGGGCAGGGTAGAGCAGTTCTAGAGCTACCACAGAATTATTTGGAGCCCTCATTTCACGGAATTTTTTCATTACTTAATAATGTGGTTTGATGACCATGTTTCAGGGGTTTTTTTGTTCAATGTGCACATTCTCCAACGTCTTCTAAGAGGGCTTTTAAAACTTCACCAAGGAATATTATGGTAAATATTCAAAAGTTCACGGAGGAATATTAGGCTGTCAGGATATCCCTAAATTATTTGAAACCACTACATCAGCTGAGGAATAGCATCACCGGCTTAGAGTTAAGAGAGCTAACTTGAAATCCAGCTCCAAACGTAACAGCTGAGTTGTCAGGGGCCCTCGATGAGTGTTCCTTGACTCAGGGATTAAACTCGGTACAGCCCAGCCTTGGCCACCATCTGATCTCACTATCTGGTGGTCACATTCCTCCTTTCTCCTAATCGCTGACTGTTGGCTCATTCCCTCCTCCCTGTCATCTTATCTTCCCTCCACTTTAATCTTCCCACCAAGCGCTGGAGAACAAGTCACACCAGAACCCAGCCGCAGCCTGACCCTGAGAGCAGCCGGGCCCGCTCTCCGCCCCGCTCTCCGCCCCGCTCTCCGCCCCGCTCTCCGCCCCGCTCTCCGCCCCGCTCTCCGCCCCGCTCTCCGCCCACTTCCGGGTTCCCGGCCCTTTCCGCCCGCAGCCCCGCCCACCCCGCCGCGGCCGCCCGTCACGTGACCGCGCGGCGTGCCCCGCCCCCGGCCCCGGCTCACGTGATCGCGCCTGGAGAGAAAACGGCTGACCCCGGCCCCCGGCCTGCAACGTTCAGTCCGGTCTTCCCGCGGCTCGTGGGCTCTCGCGCTCCAGCCACCTGCGCGTCCCTCCACCCGTCCCGGGGGCCCCCGGAGCCCTTCCGCCATGCGGCTCCTGCCTCTGGCCCCGGGTGGGCCCCGGCGGGGCAGCCCGCGCCACCTGCCCTCCTGCAGCCCAGCGCTGCTGCTGCTGCTGCTGCTCCTGGGCGGCTGCCTGGGGGTCTCCGCGGTGGCGGCGGGCTCGCGGAGGCCCAACGTGGTGCTGCTCCTCACCGACGACCAGGACGAAGTGCTCGGCGGCATGGTAACTCGCCTCTCTCGGGCTGCCCCGCCCCTCCATCTCCCGCCTGACTCGCGGGTTTCTTGCCTCTTGCCCCATCCCCACCCCGACTCCCTGAACTGGCTGCCTGGACCCTGGGGAGGTGGTTTTTGCCACGGCAGGCCCTTTACGCAGCTTGAGGGGCGGCAGGACCCTGTTTCCTCTTCCTTCACCCGCGTCTCTTCTGATAACGCGCGCGCGCACCGCACACGGCTTCCAGTGTGGCCCTCTCTGCTGCGGAGTTTGCTTGCGTTCCCGTCTCGAGATGAACGTGTGGACGCCCGTCAGGGATGGGTTGAACCACCAGAAGCAGGTGCTGGCTCAGAGCACGCAAGCCTTGGTGGTTTTTCTTTTGGATCAGAGGACAGTTGCAGCCCCCTCTGTGAGGAACCTAGGCCACCTCTGCCTTAGTCCCGGTGTACAGTGTCTGTGCCTGATATTTATAAGACAAGTGCTGACGTGAACGAATCTGGTAGGTAGGTTGTCGCACTATTCAGGGTGTGCTTTGCCTCACAAGAATCACGAAAATTCAATTAGCCTGATTGAACACCTGGCTGATGCGTTCGATACTGTCCGTGTTCCATTTTATAGCAAAGGGTGTTGTCATGAGACTTCGTTCTTCCCCCGAGTTAGTTCTGCTTCTGTATCTTAGAGTTTTGGAATTTATGACCTTCAGGACCATCCATCTAACCCCCTGCTCTTGGAGGCCCAGAGAGTGGCTTGCCCGAGGCACATGAGTACGTGAGGCGTTAGGAGTGCAACGCTTTATGGCTTTCTTCGTTTGAGTTCTGTTTTTGCTTTCAGCTAAATGCTGAGACTGAAAACACTTCAGGCAGGAGGTTCCTAGCTTTTACTGTGTGGTAACACTGTAGCTCAGTGTCCTTCAGACTGCTGATTTCAACCCATACAGAGAGTTGTGAAATCAGTTAAGTGAGTAGCTTCCAGTATTTTTACTTTCCTGTGGAATAGAGTAGAATAGAAACTGTGTGGTACGTGTGGTAAAGGTAAGCATATCCGTATGTATATATTTCTGGGTTGTGAATTAAACTGTATTTCTTAGGGCTACGTTCAAGAGCATGAGAGCTTTTCTAGCTGATATTTAAGATGCTCGCATTTTGACTCCACACTTCTTCCTGCCGCATGTGCCTCGTTGTCTTTTAGTTTCTACCCAGCCATGTTGACATTGAAGAGTCTTGACTTAATTGCTCTCCTGGATTTTACTTTGTTCTTCCCCCATTCCAACCACTACACTTATCCTCCTCACAAAACTCCTTTAAAATAAAATTTTTTTCTTTTGTGTCCTTGAACAGTGTTTTGTCCACGAAAAGCAAGCCGTCTCTATCAAAAATTAATAATAGCTTAGTGACTAAAGCACTTAATTAAAAGGTCAACCTTCCACATCTCTGTTGAGAACAAAATTCATCACTTAAATATAAGTTGTTCAGAATTCAGTTTCTTCAGTTCTTATAGACCACGGATGTGGTCTGTGTACTTGAGGTCTCTTCCCCTTAACGTGTTAATCCCATTTGCTTCTTTCACACCAGTAATAGATTCTTTTTTTTTCTTTTGTGAGGAAGATAGACCCTGAGCTAACATCTTTTGCCAATCTTCCTCTTTTTGCTTGAGGAAGATTGTCACTGAGCTAACATCTGTGCCAATCTTCCTCTATTTTGTGTGTGGGACACCACCACAGCGTGGCTTGATGAGTGGTGTGTAGGTGTGCGCCCCAGATCGAAACCCACGAACCCTGGGCCACCGAAGTGGAGGGTGCGAACTTAACCACTACACCACTGGGCCGGCCCCAGCATTCTTTTTAGAGATGTTTACACTGGAGAGAAGACCCAAAATTGAGTGGAGGGAACAAGTCAAATTTAATGCTTCCAACTCTCTGGAGGTTTCTGGCTTCTCTACTAGCCTTTTCAGAATATTCTACCACTAGTTGTCAAGCAGGACTTGAAAGGGAAAAGCAAAGACAGTGACAGCTTTTGAGAATCTACTTGGAGCCAGTCAGAGTGTGAGCTGTTTTACACTTGTGCTCCGGTCATCACAGGGTCCTCTGCTGTACGTATTGTCCTAATCTTAAATAAGAGGAAACTAAGACTTAGCGAGGGTTAAGTAATGTGGCCAAGGTCCATATAGCTAATAAGGGGCAATGCCCGGAATCTTAGGATCTCAGAGCCCTGTGCTTTTTCTCCTATTCTAGAATACTGCGATAATACTGACTTACCAGGTGTCATTCCCCACACCCACATCAGCGCAGTCACTTATACCATAGAGAGATTCTTCAGGGACACCAATGGGGTCATGGAACTCCTTAATTTATGTGTAATACTTTGTGTATATTACCTTCATTTTGGGGGGGAGAGGGAGGTGTCTGATCCAAAAAAAGATTATAAATTGCTGCCATAGTTGGCAAAATAAATAGTAGTCAACCCCCCAGACTAACTCAGGTCAGAGGATTATAGGACCTGTTTGATTGTGGTTTATGTGGAATGTTTCTGTCATCTTTGAAATAGCCTTTTATGTGGGAGCGTCATCTTTAACGTGTCACTGTTTTTGTTGAAGGTATCATCTGTGGGACTCCATGTTTAGGTTTTATGCCCAGGGGACTGTTCCTATTTCTTGATTTTACTTGAATGTCATTATGGTGTGATGGACACACTGTTCTTCACAGAAGCACAGGTTGCTCTCTTTAAAATCATTCACTCTAGTAAAGTGACATTTGGTTGAAATTTCAAGGAAGTGAGGGAAGGAGCCAAGATGAAATGTGGAGAAGAATAAATACATCATGTCTTTGCTTTGCTTAAAGCAAAGTGGTCTGCCATTGTTAAAAGAAAAGTTAGCCATAGAATTATCAGAATTGTCAAAACTTTCTTTTGGAGTGACTCTACATGAGAGCCAGGAAAGTGAATGACTCTGTACGATTTTTATGGAAGAGATTTTGCTTCGGATGAGTAAAGTAACACGTTTACCCATATGCTAGTGTGAGATTGGCTGCTTCCTAAAGGATGTTGTATGGCCGGAACCTGACCATCCGCTGTCTTTGCTTAGATCTTATGGATGCGTTTTAGCATTCAGATTAGCATGGACCCACACATTTCAGTAGTGTCCTTTCTTGTTTGAGACTTGTTTGATTAAGCACAGATTATGGTTATCACTTGTACTAATGTTACCAATATAAAGAGTATGGTTCTTAATGTAGGTTTCTTACACTAAAATCTAGATTCCTGCACGGCCGTGCATCATCTTCTGGCTCCTGCCTAACCCTCTGAGCGTGTCTTCCCCCTCTCTCCCCTTCACTTGCTGCGCTGCTCGACCGCACTGGCCTGCCTTCTCTCCCTCCCGTGGGCCTCTTTCCTTCTCTGGCAGCCTTCGTCCTTGCTACTCACTCAGCCGGGAAGCGTCTGCTCCTGGACCTTGGCGTGGCGACGACTCAACACGTGACTCAGTACCGCCGTTCCCCCCTGAAAGAGGCCTTTCCTCCCACCCACCTAAAGTAGTTTCTGCCTTTCCTCCCACCAGCTGCAAGCACATCATCCTGGTTTATTCTGTTCATAGCACTTGTCATGCCCGACATGATTGTTTACCTGTTTGTTGTAAAAGTCCCTGAGAGTACAAGCATCGCAAGGGCAGGGACCTTCCCTCTTTTGTCCACCATTGCCTCGATCAGTGCCTGGCACACACACAGTGTTTAACAAATGTGTTATAATCACACAGTATAGTCTTACTGTAAATCAGATATTCTTCGGTAGCTTTGCATATTTACCAGACAGTTTGACACTTAAGTCCCATATAACCAACTCACATGGCCCTTTTCCCCATTTACCCTTTGCATTCTCATTTCCCCTCCTTGTGTCCTCACTGTAACTCAGGTTCTTTGTCAACCAATTCATTCAGCCCCACGTTCTGTACCTGAGAGTAGCCCCCCGGGATGTTTCGTGGGAGATCACAGCTGGTGACGTTTTTTGTGAAGGTTAGCAAAGACTTGTGTATCTGTCTCTAGCATCTCCTGGGAGCCTGTTATGGATCTACTCAGGAAATTGTCAAAGCTCTTCTTGAGTAACTTAGAATTCTCATCCTTTTGAGCTGATGGGTTCCTTAGGGTTTCTACTATCTGTATAGAACAATGGGGAAAGGTCATTTATACAGTAGTGAAAATGAGGCTCTTGTTAGCATAGTTGTGTATTTGGATTATCTTTAAGGAGTCACGACACAACAAAATATACTTACGGAGGGCCGACTCTGTGGCTTGGCGGTTAAGTGCGCGCACTGCACTACTGGCGGCCTGGGTTCGGATCCCGGGCGCGCACTGACGAACCGTGTCTAGCCGTGCTCAGGCCGCGTCCCACATACAGCAACTAGAATGACATGCAACTATGACATGCAACTGTGACATGCAACTATCTACTGGGGCTTTAGGGAGAAAAAGGGAAAAAAAGGAGGAGGATTGTCAATAGATATTAGCTCAGGGCCGGTCTTCCTCAGCAAAAAGAGGAGGATTGGCATGGATGTTAACTCAGGGCTGATCTTCCTCAAAAAAAAAATGATAATTTAAAATACACACACACACACTTACAGCTGCATTCAGTGTGGTCTTAGATTTCAAAGGTACTTCAGGATCATCATGAACTGACTCATGTAATACAACTAAAATGAGCCTCTTCAGTTCTTTCATGTTGTCTGGAATCTGAAAAAGATTATTAGTGTTCCTTTTATTTGTATTTAAATGACCATCTTCATATTTTATCCTCACTCTCAAATTTGAGATTAATTGTTCTCTATACTTGTCAGGATCTCAGCTCTTGAACAAAAGATAAAAAGCAAGGGTACAAACAGTCATTTCTGACCAGTCTTGTGGTTGACGGGGTTCTGTGCACACCTATTTGCCACCTGGTTCAAGTCCTTACCTGAGGAGGTGATTGGTCTAGTGCAGAGGGCCGTGACCTCTAGTCACGTCTGGGCTCCACTGCTGAATGTCTGTTATTTGAGTCAGTCTCTGAGCCTCGGGGCCTTGTCTCGCTTTCAGAACCAAGAGTTATCTTATTTCTGTTTTAAAGTGTGGAAGGCTCCTTTCATATCATTTCCCACATCGTGCTTCTAAAGATGAATTAATGGAGATAGTTTTGCCTTATCTATCTCATAAGGGGGCTGGTGACAAATGAGAAAAGGGCCCCCAAATTTCATCACATTGAAATCAGCATTGCTAGAATAATGCTGTCAGCTGTGAACTTTCGCTTCCTGAAGGCATGATAACCCCCTGAACTTTAGCACAGGAAATAACTGACTGTAATCAAACTTGTTTGGTTCATCTCCAGAATCACACAGGACTCTCTCGGCTGTTTCATAGTGTCAGATGGAGCTGATCATTTGGGAATAAAAGGTTGAGAGTAGGACACACAAAACGTGAATTTTGGTCTATGTGTTTTAGTTTATTGGAAGAAATTATTTAACAGATAATAATTTACTTTACAGACACCACTAAAGAAAACCAAGGCTCTCATCGGAGAGATGGGGATGACTTTCTCCAGCGCTGTAAGTTTTGAAGCTAATTTAATTCTGTTAGACTTTACTTGCGTTTATGTTCTAAGAAGAAACACTCTCTTTGGGGTAATCTGTGTGGTGTTTTTCTAGTTAAATGCCTGATCTATGGGAAGAACTTTAATGTGATATAAATCCTTTTAATTGAAATATTACTTCTTACCAATTGAGGATTAATTGCAGGTATTTTCTAAGCCAGTCTGATCTACAGCTCAGAACTAGAGAATTTATTTAAAACCTCATTGTTTGAGGTTTGACAATGGATTGTAAGAATCAGGTAACATTCATGCTATGTAAACTGTCCCATGGTGAAAGCTCGCAGGCCACTTTATAAAGCCCAATCGACCCTGATAGCCAGACCTGACAGAGATGAAAGCAACAAAACAAAACCAACAACAACTAGATATACATACATGCATATGTGTGTGTGTGAAACATGTATATATATATAAACATAGATGCAAATATCCAAAATAAAATACAATGAAATTCACGACCATGCACATAACCAAGCAAATGGTAGGCTAGCTTAACGTCAGGACATCCAGTGAACAGCAGCATAACGTTGTGCTTAAGAACACAGGCTCTGGAGCCAGATGGCCTGGTTTTGACTGCTCTCTCTGCTCCTTTCTAGCTCTGTGACCTCGGGCAGGTTATTAACCTGTCTGGCCCTTGGTTTCCCCATTTGTACGTGGGAACACTAAAACCTCTCAGGGTTTTGTGAGGTTAAATGAATTGATGCAGGTAAAGCAAGCAGTTGTATCAGTTGTCCACCAATGTGATATCAGTAGGTGAAAGAAGGAAAATAGAGATGTTCATTTCAATAGATGCTTGTAAGTCCTCTGAAATTTTAGCATCCTTTCCTGGTAATTTATTAAACATCCTTGCTATGATGAATATCTCAAACAGATAGCACACCTTATAGTTAAGGGGAGAGAGGGCACTGCTGTTAGGGGTGAGACAAGGGCCTAATACCTCTCACTTAATGTTGTTCTGAACTCTAGAGTCATTGGCCTAAGTTTTATGGAATTAAGAAGTAAAACTATTGGAAAAAGACATTATTATTTCCACTTGTTTGGATTTTCTATTTAGAAAATACAGGAGAATTGTTGGAAAACTTTTAAAATCAATAGAACTTAGTAAGGTAGAAATGAAAAAATAAAAATAACTCTTTTCCAAATAACCAATTAGAGAAATGTGGGGGTAGAAAAGATCACATTCATACATGAGGAAAATACAGACTCTAGGAATAGTTGGTGGTGGCCAATAATGGTTAAGACCTCTATAAATAAAGTTACAGAACTTTGTGAGTGCTATAATAAAAATACTTAATACGTAGATGTCCCCATCGTTTACTGTGGGAAGATAGAAGATTATGAAATGTTTATTCTAGTCAGGATCCCAACAAGATTTTTTTAGGCTGAATAAGTCATTTCAAAGTCATCTGGAGGGCCAGCCCCGTGGCTTGGTGGTTAAGTGCGCGCGCTCCGATGCTGGCGGCCCGGGTTCGGATCCCGGGCGCGCACCGAGGCACCACTTCTCCGTCCATCCTGAGGCTGAGTCCCACATACAGCAACTAGAAGGATGTGCAGCTATGACATACGACTATCTACTGGGGCTTTGGGGGAAAAAATAAATAAATAAAATCTTCAAAGTCATCTGGAATAATAAGTAGGTTAGAACAATCAAGGTAATTTTTTTGAAGGAGGAAATTGCTCTACTGGATACTAAAATGTAATATGAAGCAGCAGTAGGGTGGTATTGGCCAAAAGATAGGTCAGGAAACAAAAAAGGGAAAGAAAAGAGTTGCCAGTGTAAAAATTACAAAAGTCTAACGTCTAACAAAATTAAGAGGCAAAAGTAAAAAATAGGAAGTGTTTGTAACATGACTGAATCCTTCCTTAACTCATTTTATGTAACAAGGGGCCAATGGCCCAGGAGGAAAACATGCACAAAGCACATGAACAGACTGTTCACGTGAACGCAGTTGGTCAGTATGCGTGTGGAGAATGTTCGTCCTCACCAGTATTTAAAAATGCCAAATCCAGTTTGAAAAGCCAAAGAAATGCTAAGTATTTAAAAGGGATAATATGTAGTTTTGGCAAGGGTGTGCTCGCATGAGCGTTCTTTCCCTGCTGGTGTGGGTATAAGCTGATGTCACCCTTCTGTAAAGTGGCTTGGTGATGTGTATTTAGAGCTATACAGGTATTATTGGGTAGACTGGAGTAAGTCTGTTGATGACAGTAGCTAATAGAAACATAATTAGAGCAGGAAAAAAGTCTGTGTCCAGTGTATAAAGTGATTCAGGAAACGTGTAAAGTTACAGATCAGCCTGAAAATGAACCTTTACTTTTCAGCTACATTAGAGTAAGTAGTAGTCTTTATCTTGGTTAAAACCTCGCTCCCACTGTGCTGCGCTCCTTGCAGGTCAATATTTCTTTGGCAGATGAGAGTAGAATAACAGTTATGTTATCCTGCAGAAAGAAACCAGCTGAAAAAGAAATCTGTTCTCTTGGTTTGTTTTATCTGCTTTACTGTCTCCGCTGTGTGACTTAAAGTGTGTCGTGGGAGAAGAAAATCTCTATTCCATGGGAAACTAGAAGTTAGAGTATTGAGCAGCTTTGCTATTCTCCTTAGAAATGATGAGCAATCCGTCTTTCTCGTGTAACTTGTCTCTCTTGCTTCTGTCCCTCTGTAGTACGTGCCAAGTGCTCTTTGCTGCCCAAGCCGCGCCAGCATCCTGACAGGGAAGTACCCGCATAACCACCACGTCGTTAACAACACCCTCGAGGGGAACTGCAGCAGTAGGTCTTGGCAGAAGATCCAGGAGCCAAACACTTTCCCAGCAATTCTCAGATCAGTGTGTGGTTATCAGACCTTTTTTGCAGGGAAATACTTAAATGAGGTATGGTGAATGGTCTAATTATTCCTTTTCTTTCTTAATAACAGCTTTTTTAATGCGAATTAATATAATTCATGTTAATCGTTTTTTATTTAGTATCCATTCAAGTCATGTTAAAGTGTTTTTGGTATATGTCATTTTCTCCTAATCTGCTCATTAAACAACTTACATGAACATGTTTACATGATTTGGGTACTGTGGTTATTATTCCTTTAAGAGTCTCAGGAGCATTTATTTAAAAATAGTCCTAGGACTGCTGCTGCCTGATGCATCTTCCCCTTTTTCCTCAAGAATTCTGCTGGTCATGTGGCTGCCATGGTATCTTTGTCTCCATTTCCTCTTTATCAGGATCAGAGTGAAGAATTTTTTCTTCTTAGTATCTTTCCTGAAATATAACAACTTAATTCATAACCCATTTTCTCACTTGAAAAATGGGGACAGAATGTGGAGAGATCAGTGATGTAGGGCAAGCACCCAGAGCTTGGGACACTCCAAAACATATGGCCGAGGGGCTGCCGTGCTGGCTGCGTGGGCCTGGAAGGAGGGTACCTCACTGTGACCTTCCAGGGCCCAGTTTCAGGGCTTTAAGCCGACCGTGTTGGCCTTAGGTTTTAGTCAGAGTTCAAGCTTAAAGGAAGTAGTATATTTGAGAGTGTTTGGGGTTATCTCTTAGAGTAAAACTGGGGATGCAGGACAAAGAGCAGATGTACATTTTCTTATATACTTTATCTGTGGTTGCTGGAGATCTTAATATCTGATCTGAATTTTCTGTTAATTCTCCCCCTCCCTGCAATAATTGGGAGAATTTGCAACTTTGTGAGTTTGAAGGAAGATGAGTCAGTTTGAAAAGAATCATGAGAAATAAGTATGGATACGTGGTTATTGGGTTAAGACTATGGGTCATAAAGAGAACTTATACTACTTTGCATATTAAAGATCATTTAACATGCATACAAAATTAGGAGAAATTCTTTAAAGTACAAACATATAGTTCTCAGGGATTAAGTTCTGCCTTAAATGGGAAGTATTTAACCTTGTTGAGGTAAAATGGGGTGATTCTTTGGTCTCTTCACTTATTCATCTCATCAGATAAATTGAGCTCCAAAGTCGATTTCATAAACAGGACAACTGAAGTTACAGGCTGATAGCTCATAGTCTGATTATTTTGGCTGTTGTTAGCCACAGTGTCAGTCAGACTATTCAGTCTGTGCTCAGCAAATGAGCACTATGGCCTAAGCCATGTGGACTTTTTGTGGAAAGGGCCAGGAGTAAACATTTTAGGTTTTGCAGGCCGTATGTCTCTGTTGTGACTGTTCAGATCTGCCATTGTAGTGTGAAAGCAGCCATAGAGGTTACGTAGACCAATGAGTGTGGCTGTGTTCCAGTAAAATTTTATCATCACTGAAATTGCAATTTCATGTAACTGTCACATAATATTCCTCTTTTGATTGGTGTTTATATTTTTTAGTGGTTGGAAAAAATTCTTAGTTTGCTGGCCATACAGAACAGTTGGCAGAGTAGATTTGGCCCACGCCTGCATCAGAAGTTCCTAGGATTATGGTGTTCTTCACTTTTTGACTGGTTTGTGTGTTTGGGAAAATTGAGCACCTACCGTGTTTCAGACGCTGATCTAAAAAGATGCTACAAGTCCCCTGCTTCTTGCTGGTCTGGTCTTGTCTGAGGGCTTCTGATGTCCTGCTTGTCTTGTTTTTCAGTATGGAGCCCCAGATGCAGGTGGACTCGAACACGTTCCTCCCGGCTGGAGTTACTGGTATGCCTTGGTGAGTGACAGACACTAAAGTCAGTGACAATTAGACACAGCCCTACAGATGCAAAATATGTTTACTTTCTAATTTAGCTCTGATATGGACATAACTTGGTTTGCTTTTATGATTGGCTGTTTTATCTCCTTAAAAGAAAGTCTGTGATTTGTGAGTCACTCCTGTGTAAATGTTTTTCTTTCGTTACACAAGGTTTAGCAACATATTTTGCTATCCTGTCTGATCCGCTTCTGGCTTTTTAAACTAAGACAATTATTGAACTATGTTAGTAGTTAATAAAACCCTATTCAAAAAATCACCGTTGACTTGAGTACAGTCATGCATAGGTTAGTGATGGGGGTACGTTCTGAGAAGTGTGTCGTGAGGCAGTTTCGTCTCTGTATGAATGTCATGGGGTGTAGTTATACAAACTTAGATGGTATAGCCTACTACATTCCTAGGCTATATGGTACGCATCTTGTGAGAGCACCGTCACGTGTGTGGTCAGTCGTTGACTGAAACACCATTATGTGACATATGACTGTAATTACCTTTTTTCACATCTTATCACTATTTAAACAGAGTATAGTTTAGCCCAGCACAGTTTCAGCCTTTCATTTTGTGTGCTGACCTCATAACAAATTTTCCTCTCTTTAACAGGAAAAGAATTCTAAATACTATAATTATACCCTCTCTATCAACGGGAAGGCACGGAAGCATGGTGAGAACTATAGCGTGGACTACCTGACAGATGTCTTGGTGAGTTACTGAAGCTCTGTCCTTGCAGGTTTGGCTCACATTTGGTTCAAGACCCTGCCTATTAGCTGTTGAGTGCGCACGCTCCACTACTAGTGGCCCGAGTTTGGATCCTGGGCGCGCACCGACGCACCACTTCTCCGGCCATGCTGAGGCCACGTCCCACATACAGCAACTAGGGGGATGTGCAGCTATGACATACAACTATCTACTGGGGCTTTGGGGAGAAAAAGGGGGAAAAAGGAGGAGGACTGGCAATAGATGTTAGCTCAGAGCCGGTCTTCCTCAGCAAAAAGAGGAGGATCGGCATGGATGTTAGCTCAGGGCTGATCTTCCTCACAAAAAAAAAAAAAAAAACTTTAGTTGTATTTGTTTGTGTTGGGTAATGTGAATGAATAATAACTTGGTCAAATTACCAAAGAATACTTCCAAGCAATTAAAACTCCTGAGAGTGTTTTTCTTTGTATGTATATAAGCCAGGCTCTGATCTAATGTTCTTGAAATTCCAGCAGCAAATCCCTTTTCCAAAGGCTAATCTCTGACTGCAGAGATTACTTTGAAGAGGTTTTACTTTGTAGAGGTTCCTGCTCTTGACCCCAGTTTTACTCACAAGCTACAAGATGGCGGCTTCATCATGAGGGCGGGGGGATAGGGATATTGGAGTTCTTCGGGCATTGTGTATTTGTATATAAAAATTGCTGAAATCCAGTGAATTTGGGACTTTGCTGTCTAAGGTGTTTCTGATGACAACCGTCCTTAGAGCATTCATTCACCAAATATTTCAGGCCCATTATAGCAGGCGTTCAGCAGTAAATAAAGCAAAGTCCCTGATTCTGTGGAAGGTAACTTCTTAGTTGTAGATTTTATACACACGTGTGTATGTACACACGCATTCATTTGTTGACCTGTTAGATGGTGATCAGAGAAATAAGTCACGGTATGGGGGTTACTTGTGTAACATTTAAGCAAAATCCTGAAGGAGGTGAGAGTGAGCTGTACAGATCAGGGGAAAGAGTGCCACGGACAGAGGGAACAAAAAGTGGGAAGTGCCTGGCATGTTGGAGAAACCACAGGCTTTGTGACAGGTCTAGAGTAAAGTAGGTGAGCGGGATGGTGATCAGAAGTGGACACAGTCAGTATCTTCTGAGTTTAGTGTTGGGAGTAAATGAAGATGTAAATCAATAGAACAATTAAAAACATAGCATGTATGTGGGATGCTTTCCTTTTCGTAAAGTATATCCAAATAAACAAATGAAAAATGTAAGTCCGTATAAATTAAAGCCCTGGTGTGAGGTATTGGATTTAATGCTATTCATTTAGCTTAGCTACTTCAGCTGGCATAACTTTGGATATCTACATTAAAATAACTTAATCCTAATCCACCTTTCCCCCTGTTTTGAATTAGGTTGAGTCTCTCTGTATTCTTTAAGGCATCAAATGCATGTACTCTAAGCTGCATTTATATAAGTTAATATTAAAATGGCCAGATTACAATTTCTTTCCTTGTGGGAGGCATAGCAGTTTTTAGATCATTTAAAATCAAGATCATCATTGCTTGCTTGCTTTTTTATGTGTGTGTGTGTGAGGAGGATCAGCCCTGAGCTAACATCCATGCCAATCCTCCTCTTTTTGCTGAGGAAGACTGGCCCTGGGCTAACATCCGTGCCCATCTTCCTCCACTTTATATGGGACGCTGCCACAGCATGGCTTCATAAGCGGTGCATCGGTGCGCGCCTGGGATCCAAACCCGGGCCGCCAGCAGCAGAGCACTTGCACTTAACCACTACACCACTGGGCCAGACCCCTATCATTGCTTTCTTAGGATGGTGTGGTTTTCACTTTTTTATTGTGAGTATTGCCTAAAAGCCAAATATTCCAAGAACACACTTGCAGATGACTGTGACCTAGATTGTGTGCTAAGATTGGTTAAAAGCTGATGTGACCTTGTGCCTTCTGTTAGACCAGCAAACATGTATCTGTCAAGTCCTCTGCTGTGGGGTAGGGTAGGAGATGACAGATCTTTGTGTGTGTCAGGCTAATGTCTCCTTGGACTTCCTGGAGTACAAGTCCAACTCGGAGCCGTTCTTCATGATGATCTCCACTCCAGCGCCTCATTCGCCTTGGACAGCTGCACCCCAGTACCAGAAGACCTTCCAGAACGTCTTTGCGCCAAGAAACAAGAACTTCAACATCCATGGAACGGTAGCTTCCCCTACCTCTTGAATTAAACCATGCTTGATATAATTAACTGTATAATATACTTGTCAGGGAGGCTTTGAGCCATGTAGTTGGTTTTCCTTCCAGATCCTTAAAGGTAATTGCCCCTGTCTCTAGCCCAGTAGACGATATAAACGTGCTTCAGAAGTACAGATAAGTTTCCTGCCGCACATGTGGTGAGCAGCTGGAGTCACAAGGAGTGTTAAAAAAATGCCATCTTCCCTGACTGCAGGCCCTCCTGACAGCCTCTGTGCTGGCTCTCTTCCTGCCTGGCAGTGGCTGAGACACGTGTCTCGGGGCTGAGCTGGGCCTGCAGCAGCCTCCCCCGGGTGAACCTCACCAGACCTGAGGCGTTGGAAGGAGGAGGGTGACACAGCGCAGTGTGATTGGGAAGGGAAGTTGAAGGGAGAAATGAGCCAGAGCGGGACTGTCATTAAGGGCCACAACCTAGACGTTTGCCTCGTGCCAGTTACGTGTCCTTCCCTGGGCACGGGGAGAAGCAGGTTACTGGTTCAGAGGCAGAAGGCCTCCGCTGCCCCATGCCTGTCCCTCAGAAATCTCCATGGCTGGTGAGGTGGTAGAAGGATGAGGCTGAGAGTTACACTCAGCGCTGCCACGTTCTAGCTCAGAGACGTGATTGTTACTGAGATGCTCATCTTCCATTGTTCTGTCGAAAGTGGGAGATCCTGATCCTTCACAAAACTGCTGTGTGGGGTAAAGTACATAGAAACATCTAGAGTATTGCCCAGCACATTGTAGGCATGTACTTGTTAAGTGTGATTTTAAAGCTGAGCGAACTGAGGTTTAAACTAGAGGGCCGTTCTCAAACTGTGTTCCAAAAGAAGCTAATAGAAGCTCCCATGACCAAGTAAGTCTAGAAGCTTTAGGTTAAATAATTCACTCTGCTACAGGATTTCTCAGTTATTCATGTTCTAAAATGAATTTCCAACAGGGGGTTATGCTGTATAGCATTTCTCAACTGAATAATTTCTCAATATTAACTAAAGAACACTTTCAGGACCATAGTTTGGGACATGGTGGCTTAGTTTTATGAATAGGGGGGAGAGACTTAATGGTGTATGGGGATGTGTGTGGTTTTTTTTGAAAGTGTAACTTTTTTATTTAAAGAGAAGAACACTTTAGATTTGGACCTGAAGTTTTAGGAAATTGCTATGATGAGATTTTTCACAAGGTTCTAGGATGATCACTATCTTGGGTAGGAAAATAGAGGGCAGTAGAATGATGACTTATTAGGCAAAACTTAGAGGAAGGTAAAGTTAATATTGACCCTTTTGTAGTTTGGCTAGTAGACGCAAAGCGTAGACTCAAAGTTATAAGTTTAATCTCCTTGTAGCCAGTAGTTTCCCAGTATCTTTCACTAGTTCTCTTATTAATGCTGCTAGCGAAGGAGCCCAGGCCTTCTTCCGTTACGGAAGTGGTGGGAAGAAGCTAAAGCATGAGTGATAATCTACAGAAAGCTTTTTTTAGGGACACGGGAGAGGGAAGTGAGGGGAGAGAAAGTCTGAAGTTGTTTATGCAAGTTCCAGTTAGTTCCTTTTTGCTAAAGTATACGTGGTTCTTTTCATTATCTACTCAAGTAGTTTAGTTAGTTGACTGTGGTGACTTGGTGTTAACATTTTGTTTTCTTTTAAATTTTAGAACAAGCACTGGTTAATTAGGCAAGCTAAGACCCCAATGACTAATTCTTCAATACAGTTTTTGGATAATGCGTTTAGGAAAAGGTAAGAGCCACTACTTTCTCAATCTGGGTGGTCTTTGAGGGCACTCCAGATCAGCCCGTGAACAGGGGACTGCACCACGTGGTTATCCATGAGACAAAAGCAGAGGATAGCACATTGGTGAGAGAGACCCTTTGATGGGGGAGCCTGGTGCCTCAGAAGCAGACAGATTCCCTTACATTCAGGTTTATGAGGTGGCCTTTGGACCCCAGGACTAATTAAACAGTCCATTTTTATGACTTGTTAAAACATTGCAAACTGGAGCCATTTGGTAAAAAAAAAAAAGTTTCCTGTGTCTAAAGAAAAGGTGGTTTCATGAGCCATCAGCCCCAATATTTGCATAAGACCCAAAGGCTTAGACTAGAGCAAAATGTTTGCCTTTGCTGTTTGGAATTTTCAAGAAATTCTTTTAAGTCAATTTTTAAAAATCCATTACTTTCTCTTAAGGTGTATTTAGTTTAGACCAGGGGTTGGCAAACTTTTTCTGTAAAGGGCCAGATAGTGAATGTTACAGGCTTGCAGGCCATATGGTCTCTGTTGCAGCTGCTCAGCTCTGCTCTTGGAGCATAAAAGCAACCCTAGACAATACATGAATGAATGAGTGTGGCTGTGTTCCAATAAAACTTTATATGTATATCAAAACAGACAGTAAGTTATTGTGTAATTGGTATAGATGTTCAGGTTTGCAAGAGGAAAAAGTTCTAGAGGTCTGTTTCACTATGTAACTATACGTAAGACTACTGACCTGTATACTTAAAAATTGTTAAGATGGGGGCCAGCCCCGTGGCTTAGCAGTTAAGTGCGCGTGCTCCGCTATTGGTGGCCTGGGTTCAGATCCCGGGCGCCCACTGGCGCACCGCTTGTCCGGCCATGCTGAGGTGGCGTCCCACATACAGCAACTAGAAGGATGTGCAACTATGACAAACAACTATCTACTGGGGCCTTGGGGAGAAAAAGGGAAAAAAAGGAGGAGGATTAGCAATAGATGTTAGCTCAGGGCTGGTCTTCCTCAGCAAAAAGAGGAGGATTAGCATGGATGTTAGTGCAGGGCTGATCTTCCTCACCAAAAAAATAAATAAATAAATAAAATCTTTAAAAAAAAGAAAAATTGTTAAGATGGTAAGCTTTATGTAATGTATTTTTTACCATAATTTTTAAAAAGGGAAAAAAAAAAAAGAGTGGGCAAGCTTTGGCCCATGGCTGTAGTTTGCTGACCCCTGGTTTAGACCACTGAACACTGTTGTACACAGGTCTATCTCAATCTGTATTCATCAGTACTGAATTGACAACTTTTCCTTCCAGTTGTCTACTCTCATCACCGTAATAAAGCTAACGATAATAATGAAGCTAACTGGTTTTTTTTTTTAGTTATTAATAGCTTTATTTTATGTATGTATTTATTTTTTAATTTTTTGTTTATTGCAGTAACATTGGTTTATAACATTGTATAAATTTCAGGTGTACA